CTGCAGTGAGCTACAAGGAAATTTCTTTAATTCGTTATGTTAGCCCGAGTTATACGACGACTAACAAGATCATGAGTGATGCAAGTGATTTCCCATCCCATGTAATCAATGAGGGGTCCACTATCTGGTTTCGTTTCCTAAAATGGCATAGACTAATAAAGCTCTGAAGAAAGCAAAATCTGACGGAACGTTAGATAATGGGAAGCAACAGCTTCGTAACAACCTCGTATAAGCTTATCAACGACCATTAACTTGTTGATGCATGCTGATGCAAGTTGAAAGTCGGTTTTGTGCATAACAAACTGACGGAAGCACTGATTTCGCACTCCGAAAAAGACATACCGTACTTTAACGGCTTGAGCTCCACGACGAAGTTCTTTTTTCAAAGATTTCAAAACATTAGGAAGTACCAGTCGCACTTCTCCATTTTCTTCATCCACTTTAACTATGTCAGCGAACATTGGAAGCTTAAGGAGGCGATTCTGAAAACAACCATCCATTAAGCCAGAGAGAAAACTTTGGCAATAACGTCAAATAAACAACGAAATTGTGTTGATGAATCGGTGAAAGTAGCGATGAAAGCATTTAAGGATAGAAGAAAATTATCACAGCTTGTTCGGAAATAGTACGAATTGGATTAAATCCATAACGTTTAGACACTAATGAACAATTGTTTAAAAGACGTACCGGATTCGTGGTAATTTTCTCTGCCTCCACCGTGCTCCCTCTAGTGGCCATCAACCCGATAGTTTTTAAATCTAAGGAGAGATCCGAAACCTCTCTGAAACCAATTATCGCAAATCATTCAATAAAAAATAAAACGTAAATAGAGGACAGCATTTAGTTTATTCAAATGTCGGAACCGTTCTCCGTGATTTACAACCATGTCGTGGGTGGAGAGCACATGAGCAATGAGCGGCAATGTAAGGACGATGTTCGTTAGTCAAAAGAACCACTAATTGTGAAAACTATGCCGTTGTTTTATTAAGAAGCTCCGCCAGGATTAAAACAGTGGCAAGAATCACAACCATCCTGACAACAACTGCTATCAGCTGACAAAATGTGACAACCAGGGAAAGCGGTATCTTGATATACACACATCCCTGCACTATACGTCATTTACGATGGATGCTTTGCAGGAATCTTAAATGGTAGGCATCGAAGACAATGCGTATTCCTTTCGACTATTCTTTTGGTGAAGGAAAACATTCTGCGACATTGCTTTCCAAAAACGCCGTATACACCTTCGACAGAGAGAGACTATTTCCCGCACATCATGACATGCACAAAAACTGTTTGGCATGAGTGTTGGTCACTAAACATAAAGGAAGGGCGATATTAGACAAAC